CCAGCATCCCATATGGTCCCCCAAGCACCGCCAGAAGTGATTCCTGAGTGCAGAGCCAGGAGTAACCCCTGAGCATCATCGGGTGTGACCCAAAAAGAAAAAAAAAGATAGGGGTCTCTTCTGGAATTGCAAGAGAAACAGACACCAGAGAGACTAAGATACAGAAAGAGAACAGGAGGCTGCAGTTCCACCTAACCTCAGAAGCACCAGGACAGTCGCGGTCCCGTAGATCCACCCTGGGAAGACCCAGAGGGGTCCCTGCGGGCCGGCTTGCTGGGCACAGGACACGTGCCCCCCTTCTTTTCCTTATCCAAACTTTATTCGTTATTTCGTGTGAGTTAATGGGCAAGGCTACTGAGTGCTGCGGGCATTGGGTCATTCCTTGCCCCATGGATGCAGAAGGGACCCCTCCCTGGCTCCCTCTTCTCTTCCCCAGCTCAGCGTTGCGGCCGCGGGATGAGGCTGGCATCCTCCTCCCGGCACGCTGGCGCCATCTGGTGGCATCGTCCAGAACAGCCGCCCCGAGCCGACTGCCGCCGACTGCGGTTGCACCTGGCTTCACCAACCTGGATTGAACAACTTCCACACTCAGCCCTGCAGGATCCCAGAATAGCTGGGACGTCTGCGAGAATGTGCTGCCTAGACCCTTACAATCCATGAGTTGGTGATGATGCCTATTTGGCTCACAACTGTACTCCAGAATAGATGGGAGAACTGGAAAAATGTGGGACACAAATCAGGTCCTGGCCCTGCAGGTGAGCTGAAGTGTCTGCTTCCGGGTGCAGGTCCCAATAGGCCAGACTGTACAGTTATTCCTGGTTGGCCCCAGGCTGCCCTAGGTGCTTTGGAAGCATGCTTGAAGGCTAAGAGGGTGAACAGACTGGGGGGGTGGGAGGGCGGGGGCATCCTTTCTGATCTCAGTTCTAAACTTGAGAGACCCTTTCTGCCCACATCCACTTACCCAAGAAAATGGCAGAGGCTTGGCTTGAACTGTGGGCAGGAAACCAGGAGAGTATCAGCCACCCGCCAGCCATTCCCGGGCCTTGTTCTAATTCCCAAACCAATGCTAACTAAGCAAGCGTCTGGAAGGTTCCCTTCATTTGCCAGGCACTGACCTAGGCCTTTACCAGCTCAGCTTCCCACACCTACAGACACAGCAGTGTCTGGCCCCGGCTTGAGAGCCCAGGCCAGACACCCACCTGCTCTCCACGGGGACTCTGTGCCGCAGATTCACTTGATCACTTGACATCCTGTTACTCATCAACTTGCTCAAGCGGGCGCCGGTAATGTCTCCATTCATCCCTGTCCCATGCTGTGTAGCCCAATGGCGTCTGCTCGTTCTAAAAACACAAAGAGTCTCAAACCGATTGTTCAGGGTCTTGACGAAGAAGTCTGACCATCTTGTAGGTGGGCTGCCACGTGATCTTTTGACGTCCAGTGGAATCCAGTCGGTAACAGCTCTAGTCCAGTGGTCGTCTCCAAATTGCATTACGTGTCCAGCCCATCTGATTCCATACTGACGCCTTGGCAAATAAGACAGCATCCCTGATTCTTGATCGTCGACGGAGGTCAGAACTCCGGATTCTTTCTCTCATTTGAGTGCCACAGATACATGTCTGATTCCTTTTCCACTGTTCCCTAGACCCATGATGTGGGGATGCTGCCTAATTGGCTCACAATTGTACAGACACCCCTCAACCCCATCCCCCCTACTAATCAGTGTATGGTTAGTAAAAGTTAACCTGATCCTGAACACCAATGCTTCCTAAATGTGTATCCTTCTTTCACCCTGGAACTCTGGGCCACTGTGTGGTTGTGGGCAGGACGTATAGGAGCTCAGCACATGGCTGTGGGTGTCTCGGGCCAGAGGGTCCAGAGAGATGTCCAAACAAAATCATCTGAGTCTGTTTCCAGACAAAAGGGAGAGTAGCGCAGTCTTAGAAATGATCCTACATTGCCACAGTGCCCCAGCAGCCCTGCGATTCCCCAAATCTGCCATCAAAAAGCCTCTGACCCCTTTGGCATGGTGGCATCTTCACAGCTGTGGCCTCAGGGCACCCCCTCCTCCAGCACAGGAGGTGTGGGGGGCAGGGGGAGGGCGCTGCGAATTCACATCTCAAATCACCTTATTTCCCTGACAGCACATCTGAGGTTGGATTCCACACACCCCCCAATAAAAATCATAAAATCCTTACCCTAATAACCTCATCACATGATTGGAGACAGATCATCCTTAGAGAGAGAATCTGGATCTAATGAGGTGACTGGGGTGGGCTGATGAGCTCTGAGTGGGGACTTTTTTGGATTTAGGGAGGGATACCCAAGCAGTTTTCAGGGAACATGGGGACCACTTCCAGTGATATGTGGCCAAGAGGCCGGATGGTTGGATGCTGGGGAGACAGGGTGGAGGTGGAGGCAGAGGGAAAGCTGCAGGGGATCAAATCTGGGTCCCTGAGCTTTCTCCCTGGGCCCTAGCTGGGGTTCCATGGGGTGTCATAGATATTGGGGCAGACATAACACCATCCACCAACCTTGGGCAGGGTGACTGGCAAAGCCCACCCGATGGCTCGTAGGTCTCAGAACTCGCTCAGAGAATCACGAGGAAATAAATTCCTGTGTTTGAAGCACCCCCACCCCATCCCTGCTAACCCCATCCCTCCAGCCCCACACTCCAGCCCCATTCTGCCGCACTGTGTCACAGAAAGTTGAATAAATCAAAGCAAGAAGGGCGCTGTCCCCAGGGGCAGGTGTCTGTGAAGATAAAATTAAGGTGGCCCGACCCAGTTGGCTACTGGATAAAGGGAGGAGGGAAGGAAAGAAAAGAAATCATCACAGAGACAGAGTGTTGACTTTTTTTTTTTTTGTATTTGGTATTTGTAAGTCTTTTTTAAAAATTTTTTTCAGGCCATTTTTTTCCTTAGAAAACAAACCAAAAAAAGCAACCAACAGTAATACTCTGTACAAGTATACCAAACATTAGAAATATGCATCATTCCAAAATAGTTACAAGAAAATTACAGTTTTAAAGTCCACATCAACACATCCTTGTCAGGTGTGCCCCCCACCCACCCGGGGGTGAAGGTGAGTGGGGGGGGACCACAGTGTGTGGACCACTTGGCAGCCCCTACACATCCACCAACTTCAGGGTGTGCAAATGCAAACCCCCAACTTTGGACTCCAGGGGCAAATCTGCATTCATGCCCCAAGACTGGTGAGCTCCTCTAGCACCGCACTCCAGAAGGGGCCACCAAGGGGCCACTGGCCTTTTCATCCCAGATGAAACACAAATGTCACCCCCCTCATCAATTCCCACCCACCCACCCCCAGGAGCCCCAGTCCAATGGCGCTGGGTAAGGTCAAAGTCCGGCTGGAGATCCCAGCGTGGGCCCAGTCACCGACCCTAAATGTCATTTCCCCCTGGTGCCTGTCATCACAGGATTTCATTTTGGACACAAAGGGTCCTGGTTCTGGGGAGAAGCAGGCACCACGCCAAACTTCCCGAACCAACTGGCCTTGAGTCTTCCGTTCATGCACCCCCACCCCCCACCCCACTGCTCTTCCAGAGAGAAGAGCCAAGCAGGGAGGCAGCACTGTAACCCGCACCCCCTCCCCCACCCCCGTCTGCTGGGCTGGCCCCGGGGAGGAGGCCCTGAGGCAGAAGCTCTAACGCACCATCCTATACCTAGCCCTTGCTGCGCAAGCTCTGCCCTGCCCTTCCCAGACAGTGTCCTCAGCACCCCACGGACGGGGACCCAACATCCTCCAGGGCGCAGTGATGCACAGGCACCGGTGAGTGGTCCAGACCTCAGGCTCCAGCACTGCTTCCTCCTGCTACGTTCCAGCCAACATCTCCCTGGCAGGGAGGTGGTTGGAGGAGGGGGCAGCATCCACAAGGGAGCTGACGCTGAGGTACCTACCCATCGCCAGGGCCTCTAGACAAACTGGAGTGGGGGGTGAGAGGCAGCCAGGTTTGAGAATTCTGAACACGGGACCCACGCGCATGCAGTGCTGCGGGGCAGAGTGTAGGCAGGGAAGCAAAGGATGGAAGGGGACGCCCAATCACAAGCAGGCAGAGCACAGATGCCCAATCACATCCACTCCGCCCTGGAGACGCCCAATCACATGCACGCCTCCTGGACCAATCACTGCCTCTCTCCCCTGGAGCTGCCCAATCATAGCCACACCGCTACCCAGGGAGATCCAATCACATCCACGTCTCTACCCTTCTCCCCACCCAATCACGGGGAGGCCCAATCACATCCACACCATTCCAGAGATACCCAATCACAGCCATGCCTCCACACCTGCCCCTCCCCTCACCCAATCACATTCTCTCTGCACCTTGCCCAATCACACCCACGCTGCCTCCCCGCTGCCCATCACAGCCCCTCTGGCCGCAGGGATGCTCAGTCACATCCCCTCTGCTCTCCCTGGCAAAGCCACTTCCCTGATCCAGAGTTGCGGGTCCCTCAGATGGGATCCCGGCCTCACCACTCCCTCTTCCTTTTCGGTCTGGAGACAAAATGAATTTGCTTACTAGAGAGTAAAGGATTCAGGGGAGGAGGGGGGGTGGGGAAAAAGTGCAATTTCCACTAGGGAAGGTTCCCCCCAAATGGGACACCACCAACGCTCCGCGCCTGTTCCTCATCACAGTACCTCAGTGGAAGAGTGGGACCAATGGCAGCATAAAGCCATGAGTCCAGGGTTTTCTGTTCACCCAGGTTCCCACCCCCTTCCCACCCTAAAATACCCGTGGGCATATCCAGTCCGTTATCAAAGTGCGGGTGAGCCAAGGAGCAAGGAGGGGAGAGGGTGCCCACAGGTCCACGGGAGAAGCCCTGCACCCCATTCCAGGAGTCCCAAGTTTACAGCAGGATTTCTGGCTGTGGAAGCGGCCACAGGAGCTCCCAGCCTTGGCCAGTCCTTCATAAGACCTTGTCGACTTCATTGTCTACTTGAGAATAGACGCAACAATTCAAAGTATCACCTGAGCCATGATGTAGAATCAAAAGAAACAAATCCTTTCATGTTAATGCCTGGAGAAATTTACAGATATGTACCAATGAAATAAAATCCACATAAATTCTGAAATTCTTGGTGGATATACACCTGAAGCCCCCACCCCCCCAAAAAAAATTATTCTACAATTTAAAAAAAATCAAAGTAATTACAGCAGCAGTAGATTGAAAAGAGGTCTTAAAAATAATAATTACATCTTTGATACAAATTCCAACTTTGTACACCTCAATTCAAAGGAATGACTGGAGAGTTTAGTATATTTATATACAGTAGATGCCAGCAGGGATCACTGACTGCAGATACAGACTTGCGGGGAAGAGGGAGTCACACTGCCGTGTTCACAGATCGCCACACTTTTACACACACAGAGACACACACAGACACACACACACACACAGACACATAAAATGCCAACCTGAGTAAATCATCACTAAAAACCTAGAGCGTCGTGATCACTAAAAGTCACATATTGCACCTTTAAATAATCCTTCTTACCAAAGACAGAAATGAGAAAAAAAAAAAAAACGGGGGGAGGGGGGACAAGAAAAAGAGGTTACATCACTGGGGAGGACACAGGGGCTGGCCTCGGTGTCCTCTGCCCCAGAAATTTCAAGGTGATACTTGGTTTCCACTCTCACTCACCCAATGGGGTTGACAAGGTGGTTCTTTACAGGAAACTGGCGGGGGAGAAGAGCACGACATTAAGGGGTGGGGGTGGGGGAGCCTCCTTGAGTCCAAGGAGAACAGGAATGTCTTGGAAGAGGCTGAACCTCTGATACTAAGCTACCATTTAAATAGTCCGCATATCCCAATTACGAGATTCAGTACAAAAATAGAGATTTCTACTGAGTTTTGCCTGCGGAAGCATAATTCAGAAAAGGCACATGTTCAAATAGAAAACCCAGGCGGGAGATAATCTCTCCCCACGTCCCCTCCACGATCCTCCCCAAGAATGCCAGCTCCAGCCGCTAGATTCCAAGATACAGTAGGTAAAAATAGACCTCTGATACGGAAAATAGATTCAACCCAAAGCAATCCTGGCTTTAGCACGTGATCATATAAAATAGTCTTTTTGTTAAAAAAAAAAAAAAAGAAGCTGTTTCAAAAAAGGAAAAAGAAAATCATAGCTCACTTTTCCTGGTTTCCTGTAATTCTCAAGAAAACAAAACAAAACAAAGCAAAAAAACAAAGTGAACCTCATCCCATGGGCAATCAGGAACGTCACCGGCTCGCTCACTGCCCGCCCACAGCCCCTCAGAACCCCTGTTTCTCCCTTGTCAAGTTTGCCAGGCACGGCTCCAACTCCAGCAAATCAGTTTGCACAAAACAGAACAAAGAATTAAGATATTAGACACAGAAAAACACGTCCCCATGGGGTGCCTTCCTTTGCTGCGGGTGAGGTGCTCTGCTCCACGACAGAAAAAAAAAAATTCTGCTTTGGAATCAGGCGATGTAACCGTTCGTCTTTCCGAATGTGGTCCCAGGCGCCAGGTTTTCGTAGATTGTCATTGCAGTGGTGTTCTGGTAGATCAGGTCGACTTTGGAGTCCTTTTGGGATCGGATGATATCCAAAACACACTGATTGAGGAATACATACTGGTCCTGTGCAAAAAGGGAAAGGAAATTGCAAGGAATGGTGGATGTGTGGAATTCTCAGAGGTGTATTGTAAGGTGGGGTTCACCAGCAAAGATGGGGGAGGGGGAAGGAAAAGGAAGAGAACGAAAGAGCTCAGTGAAGCCCAGGGCTATCAAAGCATCATCCCTTAGCCCAGGCTGGGTTAAGGACGGTCACATTATAGGGAATTCAGATGCCACGGGATACCAACGTGTTATCATCAATACCTATCACCCTTCCACACCTCCCAGAACCCCCCAACCTATCCCCAGGAGAAAAAATAGAACCTGGGAGGGAAGGTATGAAGGACAGAAAGGAAATAATGCATGGGCACACTCAGCTCAGAGTCTAATCAGGCAGAGATGAGGTCCGAGTAAGAGGCAACAGGAGATTCTCAACAGTGGGCAGGCAGGGCTGGAGGGGGCGGGGAGGGACAAGCCCAGTGGGGACCGTCCTTCAAGCATGCGAGTCAGAATTTGTGGGAAGCCAAGTAAAGAAGAAAAACAGAGGAGTAGGCTGCCGAGTAAACATCGATGACACTAGGAAAGGAAAGAAAAATCACAAGGCAGAGAGACACACTAGCAAGTCTCGTTTTTTAAAAAATAGTTTGTGTGTCAGCATGTGTACACTTTTTTCAATAGCTATGTACAAAGACAATGGCACTCTAAATACTGGCTACTTCCAGGGAACGGGAGGGACTAGGGAAGGAAAAAATAGAAAGGAAAAATATACTCAGCTTGGTGAATTTTCAACCTTTTTTACTTAAAAATCGGAGGTTTCAAACCACCACTCTAGGGGGTCAGAGAGGTAGTTAGCACAGCAGGTAAGGAGCTTGCCTTGAACCCAGCTGACTGAGGAGCTGTCCCTGGTGCCCCATAGGGTGACCTGAGTCCTCCAGAAGTGAGCACAGAGTCAGGAGTAAGCCCTGAGCACAGCTGGGTGTAATCCCAAAACCCAAAACAACAACAGCACAAAATTAGTGCTCTTTGTATGGTCACCTGAGCCCTCCAGAAGTGAGCACACAGTCAGGAGTAAGCCCTGAGCACTGCTGGGTGTAACCCCAAAACCCAAAACAACAACAGCACAAAGCCAGTGCTCTTTTGGTAACCCTGTGTGGTCAGTTTTGTGTGCACTGGGAGTCAAAATGAGGGCTCCCAGGGGAAGCTTATGAGCTGCCACTGAGCTACATGTTACATGCTACATGCTCAACCTCAGCCATTCATGGTTTTTTAAGGGGTCACCCTACCCCCTCCCAGTAGTGCTGGGATGGGGAAACCACTTCCAGAAATGCTCCGGTCAGACAGTTTAAAACTCAAGTTTGGTAGTGTTCGGGGGACACCAGGCCTACATGCCAATGGTGCCGGTGATGCTTGGGGACAAAGCCGCATGAAGGATTCCAAGTGATCAAGCCACATTGTATCAAATTCAAGGCCTGGTACATGCAAATGCTCTATCACTTGAGTTATCTCCCTGATACCTAAATTTTTAAATAAACAACTTATATCGCTTTCAAAATATGTTTTCTTTAAAGGTGGAGGGGGTCAGGAAAGATGTGCAGGCAGGTATAAGATGTCAGTGTTTACAGGTCTGAAGAGATAGCACAGTAGATAGGGCAGTTGCTTTGCAGACGACTGTCCCAGCTACGAAGCCCAGCACCCCACATGGTCCCCTTAAGCACCTCCTAGGAGTGATTCCTGAGCACAGAGCTAGGAGTCCCCCCGGGCACTCCCGGGTTTGCCTCCCCCTATGCCACCAAAAAAAAAAAAAAAAATGTGTTTCTCCAAAGAGGATAAAAGATGAATGCTTCTGCGCGAACCCTGATGATATGGAAAACAAGCAATGGAAAATAAATGATCTAGCGTCTGACCCTGGAAGGCAGGCTTGAATGGTGGTGGGAAAATTTGAGAAAAACATAATGCCCAAAAGTAGAGAGAGAGTATTGGGGAAACTGTCTGCCACAGAGGCAGGGTGAGGACTGGGGCAGGGTGGGGGAGGGATACGGGGGACATTGGTGGTGGAAAGTTTGCACTGGTGGAGGGATGGGTGTTTGATCATTGTATGACTGAATCTCAAACATGAAAGCTTAGTAACCATCTCATGGTGGTTCAATAAAATAAATAAATGTTAAAAAGATGAGCGCTTCACTCTCTATGCCTGGGTGATGGATGGAAAGACTCCTGACCGGCTTGGAAGGTGAACTTCACTCTTTCCACTACAACCACACAGCTCACCCCAAAGCACACAATGTACCCAGGCCTCTAGAACATTCCCTGCTAGACTTAAAAACAAAGCACATATTCATGGAGTTCTAAATTGGCCCAGCGCAACAGCTGCCGCAGAGTTAATATTCTGTTCCGTCCCTGGTCAAGCACATTCACCCCCACAGTTTGGGGCGTGGGGGGGGAGGGCAATTTCCCAATATGTTTGCTGAGAACAGGCCTGAAAAACATTTCGGAGAAAGCCAAATCCAACAGCCTTACATGTGGTACATATTAATACAGATTTTCTCCATTTTCCAGCCACCTGCCAGAGCCGTCACAATAAGACCCTGCAACATTTATAGGGAAGGTGAAAAAAGGCTGAGGCTTAAGGCAGCGAAGGGCTATTTCATATCCTCAGAATGTGCCAAGTCCCTTTCATCATTAGGTCATGACAAGGACAGCCAGACCTTCACAGGAACAAGGGAAAATATTCGTTCTATGAGTTGAAAACCCAGAAAGCAAACTACAGAGACTGGCTCCAGTTTGAGTTTTTGTTTTTGAGGTTTTTTGTTTTTGGGGTTTTTGTGTGTGTTTTTTTTTAATGGGTCCATGGCACGAAGAAAATGATTGACCTGATAGCATGGATGTTTGAAACTCCACTGCGGGCATCAACAGTTCCAAGTCACCATCCCAAAATTTGTTATTTCCATCCCAAATTTTAGGTTGAGGATCTTAAAGACATTCAGTCTGATGTCATAGCCAAGAGCCAGAAAGAGCTTTTACCCAAGGGTGCAATGTGATACAAGCTTTGAAAAATGGAATGGAGGAATAAACACAATAAGGAAGGTGGGGTCAGAGAGACAAATACCAAGGTAGATAGATGACAGACAAACAGACAGACAGACAGACAACAGAGATAGACAAATAGATGGTCAATTAGGTGATACACGGGTACAAATGACAGATGATACAGACATATAGAAACAGATTAAAGGAAGATGGTAGATCCTCCAGAGGCCATTGGACAGTCAGGTTTGGGCCCGCAGTGAGGAGATACACGGGGCCTCATGGGATGGGGATGGAGCCGGCCCTTTTCTCCCCACTCTGAGACCCCAAGTTGCTGCCCACAAATGGCCTCTCTGGCTCCTGATCAAGCTGCTTAACGGCCATGATCCAAGAGACTCAGGAACAAATCTCGGAACCCAGCAGGTTTTGGCAGAAATCCTTCCAGATTTAATTATTAAAATTTTGGAATTTCAAAATCATGCGGCCACTACTGCAGCCACGTGACATCATATGTTACTCATAACCAGCAATAGAAAACAAATTTTTCATTATTGCCTTTTTGGAAGATCTGAATGTTGAGGTAAAATCCCAAATAATAATGGTGGGTCTGGTGTCAAAATATTGAAAGTAATCAAAGTAGAGAGAGAGTAATGCAGAAATCATCTGCCCCACAGGTAGGGGGAGGGTGTGGGATGGGGGTATACTAGGGTTTTTGGTGGTGGAGAATGGGCACTGGTGAAGGTACTCGTGTTTCATTGTATGACTGAGACTTAAACCCAAAAGCTTTGTAACTGCTCTCACGGTGATTCAATAAATAAAATTATAAAAAATGAAAAAAAAAAAAAAGTAAGGTGGAGTTCATGCCCAATTCAATCAGCCTAATCAGTGGCTGAATAAATAGCAGTACTCCTACATAAAAAGAAAGAAAGAAAGAAAGAAAGAAAGAAAGAAAGAAAGAAAGAAAGAAAGAAAGAAAGAAGATAGATGCAGTTAGGTGATGACAGGTAAGTAGACAGAGAAAGAGAGATAGCAGGAGGGGTGGATGATGACAGGGAGAGGGGCTTTCTGACACAAACTGACTCACCTCTGTCTGCACCATTAACGGCCTGTGCATGCGAAGGTCGTACACAATCCCATACACGTCCACGGTGTTCTCGTTCTCTATCTGATAGATGAGGCGGTCAATGGCAATGAAGGTACCTGTCCTTCCGACCCCGGCACTAGAGAAAGGGAGAAAGGACCATATCACAAGGGGTCACTTCCTCTGCGGGAAGCTCCCTGTCCCCATTTGTACCTTCATCTTGCTCTCAGGCATGTAGGCTATGGAAAGCCCGGTATCATTCAGCATCTGTCCCACTGAAGCCTCAGCAAGTCAAACCTCACTCACTAGGGATAGAGCCCAAACCCTACAGTACCCTTTGACTCAAATGCTGCAGAATCAAGACTTTGCCATGGTGGCTTGAGTCTCGATCCCTTTGAAGTTATCGACATAACCATGGGCCTCAATGAAGTCCCATGTATGACAAACCCCCTCCTTTCCTCTGTCCTAAATCAATTCCCATAGCCTTTATGCTAATTTCTATTTGTTCTGTACAGGCCAGGTCAGAAACAACTTCAGCACACAGACTAAATAGTGCTAAATATCACTTAATATCACTGAAGCCAATGAATATCACCAAAGCCAGAAATTAAACAAATGGACCTGGCTGTGTTCTAATAAAACTTTATTTAGTCCAACAGATTGCAAGAATGGCTTCAGAACTACCTACTTATGTCCAGTCTCATCAAGTTGTACACATTAATTATACACAATTTTTTATTATTTAAGAAATACTGGGAGGGAGAAGGTCTGCCACAGCAGTGCTCAGAGCTCATCCATAGCTCTCTGCTCAGGGCTTACTCCTAGCTCTGTGCTCAAGGATCACTTCAGTCAGTGTTCAGCAGACCCTGTGCAGTACCCAGGATAAAGCCAAGGTAGGCCAGGTGCAAGGCAAGAGCCTTACTCTCTGTACTATCTTTTCGGCTCCTAACACAAAAGCTTTTAAAAAAGTGAAATGAATAAGAGCTACATGGGACAACTTAAGTAACAGATTAAAATGCTGGATAAAGGAAACAGATTGCAGAACAGTGTAGAGATCACAAAATCTGGCCACAGCTTAATCTTCCTTATCACCACTGAGAAACAAACAGGCCTAATGAATGCAGCAACAAGCAAGGGCAGGGTTGGGATATTTACCCTTATAAGAAGGCGCTGAGGATAAGAGACTTTCTGTCTATCTGTAATGTACCATTAACAAGAGAAAGCTGGGGCATAAAGTATGCCTCTTATAATTTAATAAATCGCCACTAATCTGTTTCCAAAAGACAAAATTACTTTAAGAGAAATTGTTATCAGTAAGGGAAAAATGGAGGACTGAGGGGAGTGATAATAGCACAGCAGGTAGGGCATTTGCCTTGCATGCATCCAACCCGAATTCAATCCATAGAACCCTATATGGTCTCCTGAACCCTAACAGCAGTGAATTCTAAGTGCAAGCCAGAAGTAAGCCCTGAGAACAGGTGGATGTGGTGCAAAAAAACAAAAGAAATAATATATTAGGGCCAGGTCAATAATAATACAGTGGGTAGGGCATTGCCTTGCATGCCGATGACCCCAGTCTGGTTCCTGGTGCCAAATATGGTTCCCCCGAAACTGCCAAGAGTCATCCAAGAATGCAGAGCCAGGAGTAATCCCTGAGCATCACCAGGTATGGCCTCAAAACAAAATGTAATAATAATAATAATAACTGAAAAACAATCAGGTGAGTGACCTGATGTTATCCACAGACTAGTGGAGGATGGCCCCATTCCCAAGTTTCATCTCTCAAGGGATAAGCCCAGAGTCCCTGCTCCAGACTTTTCTTGAATTAGCCAGTGCCTATACAGGCCCTCCTTGACCTGGCTCTCACAGGACACTGGGACGCCCCCGTGTACCTGCAATGCACCAGCACTGGCGACTCTGGTGGGATCTGCTTCATGTAGTCTCGCACCAGGAACCGGAAGTTGATGAGCAGCTCGGTGGTGTCTGGGACCCCATGGTCCGGCCAGGATGTGAAATGGAACTGTCGCAGAGGGTGGCTCTCACTCGTCTGGCTCTGAAACCAAACAGAGAGATTAGACTTGAGTGATAGAAAATCAGTGCAGAGCCTAACAGTAACCGGTCAAGAATCATGAGGCAGAAAAACAGATGTTACCTGGATACAAACAACTGCTAATGTCCCTCGTGTAGGCTCTGAGACCTGCACCTTGACAGCAATGGCAAGAGTCCCCCAACAGTTAGTCACATCCCCTCCATCCCTACACTCTTTACACCTCCATCTCCTTCAAGCTTCAGGAGCCTAGCCAGGAAGGTCAGAGACAAGAGTCAAAACTGAGGGTCCCAGGGGATGACTCGGTCGTCAAAAGTACCCACCCTGCAAGCGAGAGGCTGAGAGTTTGATGCCCCTTATGGGCACCCAGCACAGTCCCCATAACTCCAGCATTGGGACCCCCACCATTCCTCACAGCCACAGAGTGTGTGTGAGATCTCTGGGTAACAACGAGGTGGGTTCAAACACTGCCACTCCAGGGGTGCAGCCACAGACCAGCATCGCAAGGAGAGCTGTGAGTCCACATGGGAAAGGAGAAGGCAAAAATATAAGTCTCACAAGCACAAGTAGGAAAACCATGGCCATCAATAATCCATCATGATGGTCTGTGCCTTCTGAGAAAGAAGGGTGGGTATCACCTCCATGAATGATAAGTAATTTTTTTTCTTTTATTTCAGATGATTTGTCCAGGACTGAACCTCAGCTCAAAGGGGAAGATGCACATCTGGGTTTCTGATATAAATGCAAGGGGTTTTTGCCAATTTGTCTGCTGGATCACAAGGCATCAAAAATACTTCATGATGGGGGTCTGGAGCAACAGCACAGTGGGTAGGGTGTTTGCCTTCCATGCAGCCGACCCGGGTTCGATTCCTGACATCCCATATGGTCCCCTGAGCATCGCTAGGAGTAATTCCTGAGTGCAGAGCCAGGAGTAACCCCTGTGCATCACCAGGTGTGACCCAAGAAGCAAAATAATAATAATATAATAATAATAATAATACTTCATGATGCCGCCGCTGCATACCCCTTAGAAAACATAAACTGACTTCCCAGCACTGACCCAATTCATTACAGCTATTTTTCTAGCTCAGAGAAGGAGGGGGATTATAGCATTGCCCTGGGTTTCTATTAATGTGACTTTAAACAGAAACTGCTCAAACCATCAGACTGACACTCCTGCTGTCATATTTCCAACAAATAATCCAAACGGGGACAACAAAATAGTGCAGGCGTTAAGGTGCTTGCCTTGCATGCAGCCAATCCCTGTTTGATCCCTGGCATCACTACCATCCCCACTCACTACCAGGAGTGATCCCTGAGCATGCCAGATATGGTAAAAAAAAAAAAAGTTATAAGAGCTTTGATTTGTAACGAAACTCTACTAGCAAGTCTTCTACTCTTGATGTGCAGCCACGCTCTTAAGGGTCCTTGTATTCAAGAAGAACTTGTTAGGAAGACAAGGCTAAGGTGAATCAAATAAGGATTTGCCAGATGGTGTCAATCTTCCGTGGTCAAGGGATAAGTAACGTAAGTGAATTTGTGAAAACCTACCAAATTTTGGGTGGTAACCAGAGGGAAAGGGTGTAGGTGAGAGGGATAAAAAAGAGATCTGGCACTGGGGAGGCAGGGAACTCTAACCTCATATATCAGTGTCACATTTTTCTTTTCTGAAAGTCTACAGCACTGTTTACCAATACTAATAATCTAGGCTATATTATTTTTAAAATAATTTTACATTCTTTAAAGGGAAAGTAAAGGGCTATCTTTCAACATACACAGATATAAATTGCTTGTTCGGTAGCAAAGAGAGAAAACTTTTTTTTTTCCCCTGATGCATAGAAAAACATATACTGGGCCAGAGGAACAAAACTGGGGTAAGATCTTTGCATACGTCAAACCCAGTTCTTTTTGGTTGGTTTGTTTGTGGGCCACATGTGGCGGTACTTGCTCCTGGCTCTGCACTCACAAATTATTCCTGGCAGTGCTCAGGGGACCATATGAGATGCCGGGGATCAAACTCAGGTTGGCCGTGTGCAAGGTTACACCTTACACCACTGTACTATCTCTATGGAAACAATACGGGTATCCCAGCTCAATCCCCATCACCATATATGGGTCCCTCAAGTACTGCCAGAACCTCTCCTGATGAGCACAGAGCCACACACAGTCCTAAGGCACAGCCACAAATGGCCCTGAGTTCCACCAGGAGAGTGCCACATCACCACCATACCCCCCAAAAAAACACTTATTAGATAATATCAACTGAAATATCTGTCACCCGCAGGTCCGGGATATAGCTCGGAGGTTGAGCTCTTACATGCGTGAAGCTCTTAGGTTATATCATTAGGGCCACACACATAATTTATGCATATATTTAATTTATATAGGACCAAAGCAACAGTATAGCGGTAGGACATTTGCCTTGTATATGAGATTGATCCTACCACCCATACAGTCCTTTAAGCACCACTAGGTAGTAAGCCCTAACCACTTCAGAGTGTGACCCAAAAATAAGAAAAAAGAAAGATATATAATATCTGTATGGAAATAAAATATGTGCACATGATTTTATAATACACAGTATTTAATATATATTATATATTTACATGGGCTGGAGCGATAGCACAGTGGGTAGGGCGTTTGCCTTGCATGCAGCCAACATGGTCGACCCAAGTTCAATTCCTCCGCCCCTCTGGGAGAGCCCGGCAAGCTACCGAGAGTATCTCGCCTGCATGGCAGAGTCTGGCAAGCTACCCGTGATGTATTCGATATGCCAAACACAGTAACAACAAAGTCTCCAATGGAGACATTACTGGGCCCGCTCGAGAAAATCGATGAACAACGGGAGGACAGTGACAGTGATATACTTACATACATTGTGTTATATTACTTATATAAATATATAATATTTATACATAAATATGTATTATATAAATTATAAGTAATATATATTGTTTATATACAAATATATGTTTAAATTTATATATGCATATATATTTAAATCACCCCGAAGTGAACTCACATTTTTCACTGTGAAGTCCCTGATGGTCCATTCCGGGAGAACGATTTCCGCGGTATTGGCCACAGTGATGTCCCCGTACTCCTGCGCCTTCTTGGAGGGCCAGTACTCTTCGCACTTAGTCTGGAATGAAACTACACTAGGACACAGAGATTCAGACCCCTCACTTCCCAGGGGAGGCTAGAAACTGTCATCCAGCACAGGTCCCTGAGCAATGGGCAATGGTTTTAACTGCTTTCAAAATTCAGATTTTAAAAAATCAAAAGGCCTGGCCAACTCTGAGCCCTCAGTTCCACATGAAACTTGAGTTAGGGTTGAGTGAGAGCCTCTCCTTCACAGAGCACACAGCCCCACCCAGACAGCAGCCACCCCAATACTGAACCAAAGTTCTCCCGGACCCATAACCCCAAGCACCTAAAAGAAACCGGACTCTCCCCAACACTTCTAGATGCACACAAATTATAATATGAATGGAGATGCTAATGAAGGGGATCAAATGAAACCATTGGTGCTGGGTCTGATTTATACTGACTCAGTGGGTAGGTACAGAAACAAACATCAGGAATCTATTCTCCAAGAGTACCAGAACTTATCTGGAAAAATCTCTCTCTCTCTCTCTCTCTCTCTCACACACACACACACACACACACACACATACACAATGTCTTAGTAGGCTCAGGAGCCCTATGCTCTCTGCAGGCCATAAGGGGACGAGAGAAAGAACAGAGGGTAAGGGGTTTGCCTCGCATATGTTGCATATGGCCAACCTGCTTTAATCCCTGGCACTACCAAGACTGATACCTCAGTTGTGAGCTAGGAGGAAGTCCTGAGCACGGCCAGGTATGGTTAAAAAATAAAATTAAAATAACAACAACAACAAAATCCACCTAAAATCTTTTAGAAAAAAAAGCCATTCTCTGTTTTTTCCACTCTGGAGAAGCCCATGTTCTTTCTTGAACATGTATTTCTTTCCTCGTTCTACCTCCTTATATTTCTCCAAGTAAATTTCTTTCAGTAAAAACTACTTTGCTCCGGGCTGGAGAGATAGCACAGTGGGTAGGGCGTTTGCCTTGCACGCGCCTGACCCGGGTTCAATTCTCAGAATCCCATGTGGTCCCCTGAGCAGCGCCAGGAGTAACTCCTGAGTGCAGAGCCAAGAGTAACCCCTGTGCATTGCCAGGTATGACCCAAAAAGAAAAAAAAAAAAAACTACTTTGCTTTAAAAAAAATTTTAAAAAAAGAACTTTTAGGGGAGAAAAGGGAGTTTTTAAAATTAGAGGATCTAAAGTTTGAGGGAGTGTTTTATTTAAAAAAAAAAAAAACTAATGGTTTTGAAGATAGTCTTCCAACCCAGTAAAAACAAATTCATAACTTTTATTTTTTAATGAGGTCATACTTACCCGCCCCTGTTCAACACACTTGGTCAACATAATGATGGCATATATGTTTTTCTCCCAGACCATACGCCAAAAGTCTTTCAAAGTGTTGGGCAAAGGTCCTTGAGTGGCAATGAAATCCCTCTTGGAATGGTAGCCCTGAGGGTGGAGAGAATCATCAGAGAAGCTCTGAAGATGTGTCCAGAACATACCAGAGCCAGGAGAATCCCCACTTACGGGCATGTAATTGGCGTTGATGTAATCGTCTGTCGAATGGGTCTGGATGGAAAGCTTGACACGGGAAAAATCATCTGGAACATTCAGAGAGAAAAGATCTTCCTTATTTGTTTTTAACTTTTACTTTCCAACTTTTACTTAGGCACCATACTTTATGATACTGTGCAGCAGAGAGCCTCAATCACACTCTATTTCAACTCTACACACACTGCCTGAGTGTCAGCAACTCCCCACCAAAGTCTCAAGGGACCTTCTCTCACCCACTCCCCCTTCAGGGCCCCTTGGCAAGCTCAGTTCTATGGGCTGACTCTCTACGTCTGTCACTCTTGGGGGAAAAGGTTTTCTTTGGAAGCCAATGTCTGAAGAGAGTGGCCATATGCTGATGCGTTTGTCCGAACCCTAATTCTCATCTAAATGAGAGGTTCTGGCGGCCGAGTAAATGGCTCAGATGGTGGGAGTGTACCCAAGCCTCCACATGGCTCCAGATTCAATCCTTCCACAACATACTGCCACCACCTCCCCAGCCCTGGGTGAGGCACATGAATCCCCCCATGGTACCAGATCCAGGAAGCATGACCTTGCACACCAAGCAGCATGCCATTTCCAGGTGGAATGCTGCCAGGTGCAGCTCCCAGGTCCCCCAGAGCAGTGCCAGGGAGAAAACAACCAGGGGTTGGGGAGAGGGTCACACACTTGGAGCCCCAGGTGTGATCCTTGGCACCTCATGGTCCCTGATTGCAGAGCATGAGCCCTGCTGAGTGGGGTTCAAAACAGAAAAAAAAAATTTTTAAATAGATAAATAAAACAAGAATCCACAAAGAACTGGTAAGGAGGCGGCATTAGACTTCATCTGCGTGGGTGGAATGACAGATGACGCTCCTTCTTAGACCACCCACGCTGCTGATTCTCAACAATAGCGACACATCCAAGTGTGTACAGCCAGGGAATTTGCACGGCCAGCCAGAGATGGGGCTGGCCACCAGGAGTGGTTCTCTCTGCCTGTCCACTTCCTGCTCCCCTCATTCCAGACTAAGCTGACGTGAGGACTGACAGAGAGGGGGACACATGCTTTTCCTACATGGAACTGACAACTCTGGTTCAAGCCTGAACCGTGACTCCAGTGAGTCACCTCATGGATCTGGGTTCATTTTTCTCATCTGCAAAACGAGCTCCTGACCACTGGCCACTGAATTCAGTGGACTGTGGTCCAAGACAGGAAGGTGTGGTGGAGACTCTCCATCCATTCACTCTCTCCTCCTCTCCAGTCTCAGAGCTGGGACAGCCGAGGACAGCAGCAAGAAGCAGAGACATGGGGCCAGAGAAACAGCATGGCCCATACTACCTCTTGTCTTCCACGCAGCTGACCCAGGCTTAATCCCTGGTTCCTCATGTCATCCCCCAAGTGGGCCAGAAGTGTTCACAGAGACAGAGCACAGAGTTCTGAGCACAGGTCAAGAGTTAATTCCTGAGTACTGCCATGTGTGACCCCCAGACAAACAAACAAAAGGCAGAGCCAGTGTGGCTAAAACAACTCACAGGGCAAAACATTATTGTAGCGGTTCTTTCCTCTGTTCTCGGCCAGCTCGGCTGCGAATTTTGGTTGGCTGATTCCAATGAGCTTCAGGTCCTGAAAACAAAGAAGTGGAGCATACCACCAAGATTGGACCTCATCAGTACGAAATACTTCATCATGCCGGAAGGCAGGGGCGCTGAGCATTAAATCGAAACTCCCCCACTCGTTCCAATCTAACGTGGGACTACAGCCTTGCTGAGGCGAGGAGGAAAAGACAGGGTTAACCTGGAAGGGGACAGGCCCCCAGCCAAGACATGCAGACACCTGGGAACGGCCACGGGAACCCCAGTGGGTTTCCAGTGCCATAAGGCGAGAATGCCTGGGGCTTCTCGAACCAAAGTGGACCAACATAGAGAGTAACATACTAAGCGAAATGAGTCAGAAAGAGCAGGACAGATGCAGAATGACTGCACTCATTTGTGGAATATGAAGTAACATAATAGGAGAATAATACCTAAGGATAGTAGAGATAAGGGTCAGGAGGATCACCCCATGGCTTGGAAGCCGATCTCATTACTAGGGGAAAAGGCAGCCGGGATGGAGAAGAGACTACTAAGTAAATGATGGCTGGAGGGATCGCTCAGGATGGTAGATGCATGCTGAAAGCAGACTATGGACCAAACATGATGGCTGCTTAGTGCCTATATTGCAAACCACAACGCCCAAAAGAAGAGAGAGAGTAAGAGGGAATGTGTCTGTTACAGAGGCAGGGGGTGGGAAGGGGTGGGGGTGGCGGAAGGGACACTGAGAACACTGGTGGTGGAAAGTTGGCACTGGTGGAGGGATGGGTACTCAAACACTGATTGAAACGTCATCACGAAAATTTGTAAGTCTGTAACTGTATCTCATGGTGATTCATTAACATTAAAATATATTAAAATAATAATAATACAAAAAAAAGCAAAGGGGGAGACTCCCTTAAAGCTTCAGAGGGAGCAGGGCCCCACTGGACATCTCTGCAAGGAAACCCCACAAACAAAAAGAGAATCACATGGAAGGACTTTGTTTTACAGGCAGCCCAAAGCAATTCACACAAGGGAGGAAAGGAAAGAAAAGAAAAAGGAAACGATCCTCGCCTTCGAGGAGGTTACCACCTGGGAGAAATGCGGACGGGAATAAGAAACGATGCTGCAAGCAGAATGAAGCCACAGACAGGCACCCCCACAAGGGTGTGCAACTGGCATGCAACAATGCCAAGCCCTCCTAATGGCATCAGAAAAAAAACAGGGATGTGGAGGAGGGGACATTTGGGCCGGGCTTGCACTGCATGGGGTGGAGACTGCCCACCTTTTTTGCACCTGCCAATGTGTGTCAGTCTGCAGACTGGAGGTTGAAATCACAGGCCAGGAGACAGAGAGATAGTACAGGGGGTGAAACGTTTGCCTTGCATGCAGTGCACCCTAGTTCAATCCCTGGTACTACATATGGTCCCCTGAGCACGGCCAGGAGTGACCCCTGAGCCCAAAGCCAGGAGTAAACCCTGAGAACCACAGGGTATGCCTCCACCTAACCCTCAAAAAAAAAAAAAAAAAAGATTTCCAGCACAGGATTATCTGCACCAGGTATCTAAACTGAACAATCCCAAAAGAAACAGACAGGATAAAGTGGTCTTTTTCAATGTAACTAATCTGGTGGTGAGTATAGAGAAAAATTTTGTAATTTTCAGGAAATGAGAAATCAAAAGAAACCGGTTACATTCTAGAGGGTGGGGGGGAGAATAAAAAGGTCTAGAAGCAGGATTTAATCCCAGGCACCAGATAATGGTCCTAAATGATCCCTGAGCACAAAGCCAAAAACATATCTTAAGCACAACCAGATGTCACACACACACACACACACACACACACACACGCCAGCTGCCCAATTTCCAAGGGAAGAACTAAAGCAATTAAAACAGTCCTTGCAAGCACATACTTCATATTCCTCTGCAAAGCCACAGTTGGAGTCAGCCTGCTGCTTCTTAAAGTAGGCCTCAAAGTTCTCCACTCGAATCACCTTGGATCTAAGAAAACAGTGCAAAAGGTTTCTTAACCTCCCATTGATCTTCCACAGAGGAAAACACAGTTTTAAAAAACTTCATGTGGATACTCACTTTTTGGGCCTTCATCATAGAAAAGCGGGGGTGAGGGGTGGCGGGGAGAAAAGAAAGAGAAAGAAAATTAAAAACAGGCCATTAGAAAAGGGGACTCAACCCGAACTCTGGAGATGACAGCAAACGTATTCCCAGAAAAATAAAAGCCATAGAACTGGGGGGTTGCGGGGGTACCCTAAATGTTATTTCTGAAACATCGAAATCAGAACCAGCAAATTTGACAACTTGGCTTTTTATGCAATTGATTATCTCTGAGACTTTGAGCAGCTTCTCCCTCCTTCCCTCCTCCCCCCCGCCCCGCCCCCCAGGTCTTGATAGTCCATTTTAAACAACAAAGTACGTGTATGTATTGGTACAACATGGCCCCGAAGACTATGTAAGGAAGATCAATGGCTTCCAGACCAGCATAGAGTCCTTGCGGGACCACAAAGTTCAGGGACCTTGTACAAGTCAGAGAAAAAAATGATCACAGGCCTAGAACAAAGCCCTTGAGAGGTTTTCTGGACAGATGGGGCACTTTCAGACCTTAGCACAGCGCTTTTAACTCCAGTCACTTACTTGATTTGAGAAAAGGACAACTCATTGTTCTTCGCATCTTTCCTGTTTGGGAAAGGGGCATGGGGAAGAACCATTAGACAAAAGGTTAGTGTGTGCTTTGCCACCATCTGCCACTCTGGTACCTGTGTGGGCATGTGACCCCAGGTCTCGGGGCTAAGCTTTTAGACTCAGCAACAAATGCTCATTACTGACTGCACGCAAGGCCACTCTCTCCTCCCCTCAAAAAAACAAAAAAAAAAATCAGAGGGGCTGGAGCAATAGTACAACAGGTAGAGCGTTGGCCTTGCACGCAACTGACCCGGGTTCAATTCCCAGCATCCCATGGGGTTCCCCAAGCACCACCAGGAGTGATTCCTGAGTGCAGAGCCAGGAATAACCCCTGAGCATCGCTGAGTATGACCCAAAAGCCAAACTAATTTTTTTTTTTAAATTTTCATTAAAAACAAAAAATTGGGGGGTTAAGGTGTTTGCATGTGGCTGTTCCTGGTTCACTCACCAGCACCATTTTTTGGTTCCCCCAAGCACACAGCCAGAATGTCCCTGAGCACAGTCGAGTGTGGGCAAAATCAGAAACAAATTTAAAATGGAAATTTGGAAAAACAGAAAAATATGATTCAAAGCAACTTCTAGGAATTTCCCTGAAACTTCTGCTGCTGGTGGAAAATTCTAGGAATTTTCCACCAGCAGCATCACCTAACTGGGAAGCCAGAACAGTGATTTCACACCTTGTCTTTTTTTTTTTTATTTCAGTCCTTCAGATAGAGGAATGGAATAAACCAGAAATGCCTGGTTAGTGGATTTAACTAACCCCACACTGGATTTAACACACCTCACCCCCATACCCACAAAAAAAAAAAATCCCTTTCTGCAAGCTAATGGATGGGCCCCAAGTATCATACTGAAACCTTGCACACCCACCCTCCCAGCGACAGCCCGGCTTGGAATTCAGCCTGAGGAACTAATCACAAATGTACCCAGAGATTCAAATAAGTGACTGCAGAGCAAAGACAAAACAAACAAAACCCTTCGGTCTCTGACTACCATCCACAGAATTGAAGACTGTTCCAGCCACTGAAATGGAAGCAGAAATAAAGCTGTCACCAGGCCCCGGGGGAGCAAAGGCAGCAAGAGACCCAGGCGTGTCCTGGTGCATTTGTGTGCAAGAAAATCCCACTGATGTTAGGAGCAGTTTTGCGTGGCTATCACAACTGTCATTTTTTTCCATTTCCCCGGTTTATCTTTTCTATAGTTTTTGTTTTTGTTTTTGCTATCAGTCCATCTGACTTCCACAAGATACAATCAAACAATTAGGAAAAAAAAAGAAATACAGAATCTAATGGCCAGTGCAGGTAGATGTTCAGTGCTGGCAGGTGCGTGGGCAAAGCAGGGGCAGAGGAAGCAGGAGCCGTCGACAACGGCACTGGGCCAGGAGAGGATGCCCTGGTGGGTAACAGAGGAGCCAGGGAAGCGTCTCACAGTCTCTCACACGTGCCATGAGGACACAGTTCAGGAAGTGTGGAGGCAAGTACATCTCCCTGCCTCCCACACTCAGTTTCTGCATTCTCATCAGAGCTTCCGGGACATAAGGACTGGAAGATCCATGGAAAGCCCAAGTTCAGGAGCATGGGTGCATTCCAAAGGGACCTGCTCGCTTTCTCTCCCCACCTCAGGGAGGGGTACAAATAAAGTCCACCAGACATCGGCAGCCCAAGACCCTTAGAGGGGGCTGAGAGCACTGGGGCTGGGCTCAGTGGTGGTCTGAGTACCACCAAAGAGTGAAAATGGGAACTGGAGTGATAGTCCAGTGAGTGGGCTTTTACCTTGTATGTAGCCAACAAGGGTTCATGGTCAAACCATCCCATTTGGTCCCCCGTGAACCACCAGGAGTAATTCCTGAGTGCCGAGTCAGGAGGAACCCCAGACACTCACTGGGTGTGGCCCAAAAACAAACCAAAAATAAAACAAAAAGGAAAGGAACAAAATCTTCAGACATGCTTTTGGATAGATGACTCAAAGAGCTGGAGCATGCACTCTGCATGAGGGAGCCCCCCACATCCCGCCTGCTCCCCAGTACCGCAAGGCCTCAGCAGCTCTGCGTCCTCAAACTGACCCACTTCCTCTGGGGGCGGGGCCTGACACTCGCCCTACACCAGAAAAACAAATTAAATAACAACCAGGGTGTTGTGAACACAAGCTAGAGTTACCTTTTCTTCCTCCAGAAGATGAAGCCTCCCACGGCCACGATAACCAGAGCACCAAAGATACAACCAAAAACTGCTCCGCAGATGACACCTGGGGAAAGTGCCAACGGAAAGGCAGGTCAGACGTTGCTTAGGGGCAAGGAACCTGGAGAATGTGTGCGTGCACACACAACACACACACACACACACAAACACTATAGCTTAACCTGTATCCCCCCTTCTCTCTCTCTCTCTCTCTCTCTCTCTAAATATATATATATATATATATATATATATATATATATATATATATAGCACTGTAGCACTGTCCTCCCGTTGTTCATCAATTTGCTCAAGCGGGCCCAGTAACATCTCCATTGTGAGACTTCTTGTGACTGTGTTTGGCATATCAAATACATCACAGGTAGCTTGCCAGGCTTTGCTGTGTGGGCAAGATACTCTCAATAACTTGCCAGGCTCTCCGAGAGGGGCAGAGGAATCGAACCTGGGCCAACCAGGTTGGCTGCAAGGCAAACGCCCTACCTGCTGTGCTGTCGCTCCAGCCCAACTCCAGTGTGTGTGTGTGTGTGTGTGTGTGTGTGTGTGTGTGTGTGTACACACGCACGCACACACACTCACTGAAATTGATTCTCTCTCTCTCTCTCTCTCTCTCTCTCCCTCCCTCCCTTTCTTGCAATACATTTTCTTTTTTGTCCCCGATTCAATGGCCTTTGGGTCTTGGTTTCAGCTGCAAGTTTAGTGGTGGGGCTAGGTGAGGCGGGTGACATTTGTGCCCATTGATTCCTTCCTTCAAATGAAACTACACGCACTTGCCCAACAGATCAGGGACTCGTTGAGGTTAAGGTAGGAGTGGGTTTTCATCCAAAGTCCACTGTCCTCTGGATGAAGCCACCACACTTTGGACAACACATGACAATGATGGCCCTTGGCTCCTGCCCAGTGAGAGCAGAGAGGCGCATAACACCAGACTCATGGGACAGATACTCATCAAGACACTGGCCAAGAGCTCAGGGACTCCCTCAAGTCCACTTCTGGGACTTCTCTTCTGAAACCAGCGACTTGAGACAAGTATAAAAACAGCCAATCTGTGGCCAGAGTGACAGTACAGAAGGCAGGGCTCTTGCCTTGCACATGGCCAGGAGTGACTCCTGAGTGCACAGCCAGGAGTAACCTCTGAATATAGCCAGGTGTGGCCCAAAAACAAGACAAAAAAAAGTTTAAAATTTTAAATAAAAATAAAAGAAAATAAACAAACCAGTTGCCCAATTGGTCTCTGCCTGGGGACATGTCCCAGGGGGCTTCGAAAGCTCCCAGATCACTTCCCCCTCCATGATGCGGACACTTGAGTTCATGGGCCAGAGTGATGGCATAACAGGTGGGGTGCTTGCCTTGCCCACTGGTGAAACCAGATTTGACCTCTGGAACCTCACATGGTCTCCCGAGTCTGCCGGGAGTGAGCCCTGAGCACAGAGTCAGGAGTAAGCCCTGAGTACTGTCAGGTGGAGTCCAAAAACAAAAGTTAAAAAAACAAATTAAAGCATTTAAATTCTAGCTGATATTCAATAAAAGGAACAAAGTTAACAGCAAATACTTTAAAAACCTTTTTTGGTTCATGAAATCATTCCCACAAGCAAAGGAAAATGCCTTGCACCTCCCAAAGTTTCATTAATGCCTCTTTGCCTCCTCATTCACCTAAGCCACAGTCCCCCACCACCACCCCCTTTTCAGGCAGCCATTGATCTGCTTTCTGTTATGACGGTTTGAGTTTTCTAGAAATGGAATTATATGATACTTTTTTAACGTATGTAACTCCCTTCTGTCAACATAATTGTTATTCATTTGTAAAAAAAAAAAAAGAGAGAGAGAGCGAGAGAGGAAGGAAGGAAGGAAGGAAGGAAGGAAGGAAGGAAGGAAGGAAGGAAGGGCTGGAGTGATAGTACAGTGGGTAGGGCATTTGCCTCGAACGCGGCTGACCTGGGTTCGATTCCCAGCATCCCATATGGTCCCCTGAGCATTGCCAGGAGTAATTCCTGAGTGGGAAGCCAGGAGTAACCCCTATACTTTGCCAGGTGTGACCCAAAATGCAAAAAATAAACAAATAAATAAAGTACTGACAGTAGGAAGGAAGGAAGGAAGGAAGGAAGGAAGGAAGGAAGGAAGGAAGGAAGGAAGGAAGGAAGGGAGGGCAACTGAGCAGGGTCCTGATGGCAGGGTCCAGGGACATCTCATCTGAGAGAGGAAACAGTGCTCTGATCCATCCTCCTGAGGGCCACACGCAGCACGTGGTAGCATGGTAGGGGTCCCCCACCAACCCTCAAATATCTGGGGCAGCAGCGCCCACCAAACCCCGCCGAAGTACTAAGTACTGGCCACTTCCTCTCTACCTGGGTCCTGCGGCAGGAACACCGCCTCCGAGCAGGGGCTGAAGGATACGTAGCTCTCGGGCCCATTGATGAGTCTGTCGTGCGACTTGAAGGTGATGTTGGTGAAGCCGGCCACGCAAGCCCTGCAGAGGGACGAGAGGACACAAGTGGCTGAGACGTGCCCGGCAGCCCGCAGGTGGGGCCGAGCCCCCCACCCCCAAACCCCCAGTGAGCGGGGAGCCGCAGCGGGCATTACCGGTAGGAGCCCAGCGGCTCCAGCTTCCCGTTGTAGTAGCCGCGCGTCATCGACTCGTTCCCCACGTCCACTTCGTATTTGGAGGCTTCCAGCAGGCCCGGGGAGCGGCGCTTCTCCTCCACTGTGAGGAGGTACGTCACGTATGCTTCCGAGTTCCCCTTCTTGAAATCTTCATACGTGTATTTCAAGTCATATGCAGAGGCGTTCTCTACTGAGGAAAGCACAGGGAGAGAAACGGCCTAAGGACACAGCAGGTGGCACTGGATGCGCCCTCCATGCCTCGATGTCTTGGTAGACACTGAGTGGACACTGGGTGGGGCTGGAGATGCCCCTGCCAGCTGTGCACACCTGCTCCCCTGACACCAGCTGCTGAGGGCTTTACTCCCACAGGAACTCACTTCATCCCTGCAGTAACCCCACCACCACATCGGTTTGGCACCCCCATCTGACAGCTGGGGAAATCAAGGCACGGGAAGCCAAGAACCACAGGCCAAGGCCACATTCTCACTCTCTCTCTTTTTCAATTTTGTTTTTGCTTTTGTTTGGTTTCAGGGACTCATCCAGTGGTGCTCAGGGATTGGAAGGAGTGCCAGGGATTACACGAGGGTCAGCCACACGCAGGGTGCACACCTTCACCTCTGTTCTTTTTTTTTTTAAATTTTATAAGGTAGTTCACAATATTTGATTACATTTAATATTCAAAGACCAATCCCACCACCATTACACCTTCCCACCACCAAATTTGGGATGTTTCCATCCCAAGCCCCAAGTCCTGTCCCAAAGCACAATCAAAATATCTTGTATGGTCTGTTATGAAGAACCGCTGAAAATGCTATAAAAGAAGTATTTATTTATTTTTGTAGGAGACCGTGTGAAATTGCTCTATTTTGGCAGGGGCCATTGAGACATTCTTTAGAATATCACTAACATGTTGTTAAAGGTTGAGTAATGTGAGCTTTCGTATATATATCTGAAACTATTATATATGCATATATATACATATATATATATTTCCCTCTATGATTCGTTGCCGACTATTTGAACCCCATCAAATGTGGTTGTGGTACTTATGGAGAATGGGTAGGGAGTATCTTATGAAGTGTCTCGGGCACACAGTCCAGGAATACGTTCATTTGTACGTGAGTCTCGGCCCAAGCATGTAGGGAACGGCCTGGAGCATAGCGGCAGTCGGGTTCTAGAGGTTTTTGGCTGCCAGGGCTGGGTCCCTTGGGGCAGGGAGGGCTCTCACCCGCCCTCCTCTGGGCGCCCCGAGCCTTCACCTCTGTTCTATCGCTCCTCCTCCCACATATTCCTAAGCCAGACCATCTGCCAGGGGCTGCCTCCTCATCCATTCCAGGCCAGCACCCGTCAGACTGGTCCTGGGGCAATCTTGCCTCCTTGATCAGCTAAGATCTGAGTTTGGAACTGGCTGAGAACCTCCAGGGCCAAATGACTATGTCTGGAAACAGACTCCAAACAGTACAACCAAGACGGAGCACTCTTCGAAAGCACATTTTGAGACTCTGCTGCAGGGATGAGACATTAGAGAAACTGCTTGTCCTCCAGGGTCCCCTAACCCTGGCAGCATGCTGGGACTTGACATTCCCCATGGAGGAGGGGTGGGCATGGCAGGTGGGAGTAGGGCAGGAAAGGCACTGCCCTGTTGGCATGAAAAGTCTTGTCAAAAAACAACCAGAAGTGGCCAGAGCAATAGTACAGCAGGTAGGGCATTTGCCCTGAACACGGCAGACCCGGGCTCAATCCCTGGCAACCCATACGGTCCCCTGAGCCCACCAGGAGTGATTCCTGAGCAAAGAGCCAGGAGGCACCCCTGGGAATTGCTGGATATGGGTCCAAAAAAACAAAAGAGAGAAAGAGACAGTCACCCTTTGAAGGGAGGGAGGGAGGAGGGGACGTGCGCACGTAAATACGTATGTGTGAGATGAAGTTCCATCAATCTAATATTCTCGGTGGGGAGTGCATCCCGCCTGGAGGAGGCCCTGTCTCCGATGAAAACCCCGCCTCGGAGGCCAGTGCGGCTAGGCGCTGGGGTCAGAACTGGCAAGCCTCTCACTCTGCTCAGGAGCATTTCACTAGACCCCCTCGCACTCATTCTTTCCATTTCTCCTGCCCTTGCAGTCCACAGCAGGCTAATCACTGTGATGAACAACATGAAGCTCTGCAAAGCATCAAAGATCTGTTCCCTGGCCTTACAAAATGTATGTCAACCCTGTCTTAGGTCAGCAGGCAAATAGCCCCCCAACCCCACCACATACCCACACACACACTCACGCATACATACGCACGCACACATGCAGACACAAACACACATAAACACACACACATGTAGACACACATGTATGCATGCACACACACAGGAACACACACAAACATGCACACTTGAACACATGCATGCATGCATACACAAACACCAATGAACACAAACACAAAAACGCACACAAACACACAGGCACATGCACACACATACAAACACACACAAACACACAAGTATGCACACACACGAACATGCAAACACAACTGCATGCCCCCATGGGAGTGCCAACACACGGCCACAGGGGAGACACATGTGCAGTGTCAACACTGCCTTGGTGCCACAGCTGCCTGCCTGGCCTGCTAGAACTGCCCCCCTTACCCCCTAACTCCCAGCCGCCCTCCTTATCCCCCAGCCCCCAGCCTTCCCCCTTACACTCCCCCACCCCCAGCCACCCTCCTTACCTCCACCAGTGGTGAGGACGAGGGCGTAGGCTTGGATGGGTCCGTGGCTGGCTTCGAACCCACTGAACTTGACCTTGAGTGAATTGTGACTGACAGCTGTAATATTGGGGGAGATCTTTGGGCGAGGGGGGTCTGAAACACAACAGAATGTGATCTCACTCAACATTTGAAACCGAACACAGAACCAAGGCAGGAAGGAGAGACGGGGCTACTGCAGCCTTAGCTGGTCCCAGCTAGGGATGTTCGAGCCAAGCAAACCCAGAGCAGGGTGTGGGCCAGGGAGCTGGGGGGTGCAGGCAGAGGGTCAGATCCCTCAGGAAACCAGGCTCCACATGCCCCCCTGTGGGCGCAGGCCCCAAGCAGCCCTTCTCCATCTTTCCCTGCTCCCCCTGACCCTCCTGCCAGGCTCCCCAGGACACGAGACCAGCAGAGGCCAGGGGAGCAAGACAGGAGGTAGAACTGAGGCAAAAACAGGAAAGTTGTTTTCCTACGTACAAAGGGAACAGTGACTGGGAAAAACTAACAAGGAGGATCCCATTTCCCTCACACACTGAGGGTCTTCCTAATGAATGCGGGTGCAGACAGGACTCCTTCCTGGCCGGCATTAAAACAGAGACCATTCCACGGCTCTGTGTGGCAACAGGAATGTAGCTACTTTGAAAGAAACTGTTTTTGGATCCTTTACAGCGTACAAAATAAATGACTTATCTCCCTTTGGGGCAGGCTTGAGTGATGGTGGGAAAATTGGAAATACTGATAGTGGGAAGGTGTAAGAGTGGTGAGATTGGTATTGGAATATTGAATGTAATAAATTATTGTGAACAAAGTAGAGAAAGTATG